TGGAATGCGTACAGGTTTCCAAACAGGAAAAGCAAAGTGCATGTAAGGAAGAGGAATTTCAAATGATAGCACAAGGGGAGACCTCACAGAAACAGTAGTCAGAACTGAGCTATTATAATTGCAGTGATGAAGACAGAACTCCCTACCATTGTCTCTTAAGGAAGCTTGAGTAGCTGTCAGGTACACTGCAAGCAGTGCACTGCACTGATGGGTTTTAAAATACAGGCTAGAGAGATACAGTCTGTACTCATAAGCTCCAAGTGTATGAGAAACAGTATGCTGATAGGAGCTTATGCAAAATGTATAGGGCCATGGGGGTGGGGAGGGGCCAAATCCTGGGGCAAGGCTGCACTGTCTGGGTCTCAAAGAAAGGCAGGTGGTGTGTTGTAGTCAGATGGGGTGGGGGGCAGAGGAGTTGTGTGTGCGGACACAGGTGTGGTGAGCACGGGTGGAGCACAGAGTGTGAGCAGCAAATGAGTCCATAAAGGTGGCCCAGGGCCAGCTCAGACTGAGGGCGGACTTTAGGGCTTCCTTGGAACACGGAGCCATCAAGGTGCCTAAGCAGGGCAGTAACCTCACCAGATCTTTAATTAAACATTACTACACTGGCGAAGAGGAAAACAGTTGATACGTTCTAGAAGTTGCTAACATTTCTTCAGCATTTACCTTGTACCAGGTACTATGTTAAGCCCTTTACATAAGTAATCTCATTTCATCCTGACAACTCCCCTGAAGTGGGTACATCTTTATCCCTGCTTTAGATAGAGACGAGGACGTGTAAAGTTCCTAGACTAGTTCACACAACTAGGAAGACAAAGAGAATTCAGAAGAATTAAGACCCAGCCTGCTTCAGAGCCTGTTTGCAAACACCGTGCTCTCCTGCCACTCAGGGTGAACTGGAAGGAGGGGAAGCACCAGGAAAGATCAGGGTGAGAGGGAGATGGTGAGGTGGGAGCACAGGTAACAGGGCTTGGTCACTGGTCCACGTGAAGGAGTGGCTAATGATGCCTGGTGTCTCTGGCCCGGACGGACCCTTTATTGGCTAGGGACATAGAAGAAACGTGTGGAAGAGTGGAGGTGATGGGCTGGTGAAGTTCCTACAGGGAGTCCAGGTGAGCAATAGAAGTGTGGAGCTGGGACAGTGAGGGAGGTCTGAGCTGGGGCTGGGGTTCATGGCTGAGGGCAGTCATTGAAGAATGAGACAATGAGCAGTGGACGCTCAGGAGCCAGCAGAGCAGCCTGAGGGCCGTGGCCAGAGAAGGAAGTCAGGAGAGACTGTCGGTCCGGGGAAAGGCTCAGACAGAGGCCAGACTGATCAGGCATTCGAACGCAGAAGCTCTTGACCTGCCTCTCTCCAGCTTGTGACTTAAGTGTTGTCTCCCCTTTACCCAGAGACCATCAATGATGTCACGTTTGGAGCAGGGGTCAGTTACATAGGGACACCACGGACTCCTTTATCAGTAAAAGGCAAGTTCTCTGTTTCCCTCGTCTGATACCTTAACTGCCTTTGAAGTTCTGGGAAAACTCAGTTTGTTTGTGTTTGACTCCTTTTCAGAGAAAATTGAAGCTCAAAGTCAAGGAAATGACATTTTATGTTTATCATTGCCTGATAAACCGTAAGTACACCAGAGCTCCTCTTGAGGTGGACGTTTGTGTGGGGTTTTTCTTTTAGTTGCAGATGGTTGTACCTTTCCTTTCCCTAGGCCTCCGCAGCTTCAGCAGTGGAACGTGAGGTCTCCAGCCAAGAATAAAGACAACCCAGCCCCCAGTAGGAGGTCCCTTCGAAAGACCCCCCTGAAAACAGCCAACTAAAACAGTGCATTCCAGCAAGTGTCCAGGAAGGCAGCAGCCCCAGAGGAAACACTCATCTGCTGCGTGTGGAGAGGCAGAGGTGACTTCCCAAACACCTCCAGTGACGCTTCATGATGTAAACCAGAGCTCTCCAGCGCTTACTGGTCACTTGTTTAGCTGACTAACCTTTCGTATTTCTCCTTATGACAAATGTGGTTAAAAAATTATAAAATAGAGAAATGCCAGATTTAGATTTTCTTATCCTAAATTTAGCTATTTAATATTTTAACTTTGTCCCATCTGAGAGTGTCTTATCACTTGACTATCATGGACTTAAGTCGTTCTGATAAGCCATAATCTTGTCTTTAAGAACACAAATTAAAAACTTTAGCTTTCTTTTATATAAATGAAGCCTCTACTATTAGCTTGTTTGAATTCCTTATAGTACATATTTTCCCATACCTAATGACAAAATTTTGATTGTAATATTTTTTCTATTATTTATAATTGCTGATTTTTTAAAAAGTGTACAGCTTTCTAAAATGAAATAATAAAGGTCAAGCATAAATACAGCCTTCTAGTATTCAACAGTCATTTCAATTGTACATAAAAAGTATTTAAGAAGAATGAAACCGAATCTTTCCTGTTAGGAAAAAATGATTTCATTAGCCCTTAAGCCTTGGTTCATCTGCCCACCTGCCTTTACTCCCATACAGAAGCTGTCTGCCCCTAACAACAGATATCCTTCTTAGTACATACATACCATTCCTGCTTATGAAGCAGCAGCTCTGTGTCCCTTCTCTAGAGGGGCACTGGTGCTGATTTGTGTGACACTCTGCAAAGCCCTGCTTCCGTGGTGGGGGGATAACTTGAGTCTCTTCTGTTGACACTATTGGGTAAACTTACAACACTGTGTTTGTCCAAGAATGTCCAGAAAGAAATGCAGTTGTTTCATTTTTTAATCCTAGTACAGAAGCAAAAGTACAAAGTTACTGTCTAAGTTTGTTTTTAATATGAATGGGGTAGTTGAATTTAGGGAAGGAATGTCACTGTGCTCCACCCACAGCTCTCCCACGTGTGAACTGTGACACACATGGACTCATCAGTAGAAGGGGTCACAGTCTGCACTGAAGTGAACAGACATCCCTCCAATGCAGGCACTGATTTCGCTGGTGGGCAGTGATGGGACTGTCCATTTTCAGTGTACATCCTCAATAAAATGCTGGGAATAAGAGTAAATCCAACATAAGAGCAAGCAAGAAAAGAAAGAGGCTAAGTTGGGCTTTTTTTTAAAAGCTTTTATAAATGAGGTTTAACAAATACCAAATTATAGATGTGTTAGTACAAGTCTGTAACATCTACGTACAGTAACATCTATACCAAAGGCCAGAGGAACAGCCCTGCATAGATCTACTGAGTCTTTAGTCACAATCACATCTTTAGAATACACGGACATTTCTTTTCTCTCTGCGGTTTTACAGTCGTAGGCATCCATTCCCAGAGTACATGTCAGTCTTCTCTGTCAGTCCCAGTCCCCATGGCACCAGGGTAGAAAGCTTAGGGTATAAGGAGGGAGGCGATAAGGCGACCCCACACCCCCAATAATGAGACCAGGGAGCTGTCCCTTTCCACCAAGAGGAGGCGGAGATGAAGGGACAGCCTTAGTTCTGAGCATTCCAGACACATGCAAAGACGACAGGTGCCACTGAGCAATTGCTAGAGTTGCCCACTGCTTCTGCCAAATATCCCATAGCAAAGTATTTCACATAACTTAAAAAAGAAAACTACATAAGTCTCAAGTATTCAATTAAGAACAAAAACACCTGTCAAAGTATAAAAAGTTAAGACACTGAAAGTGGAATCCCAAGGTGACTGTTCTCTACATGAAAACCCTCCTTTAGGCACACAGTGGAATTAGGCGCTCCTTTAGAGAAGAAGCTCCTTGCTTCAAACCGCTTCACATCATGAGTCTAACAAGGCAATGTATTTGAGGCTAAGCACATCTGCTCTTGAAGAACAAAGGCTTTCGGATGATGTTTCTAATGTCCCACATAAAGTGTGCAGTGTCTCAGGTAGATAAAAAATTTAAAAGCAAAATTAGGAAACTGCTTTTGATTCAGGCGTTTTGCTGTCCTCACCAGCAGCCTTGTTATCCTGGCTGCACCGCCCAATGTTCTTCAAAAGGCTGGACCCGTTGCCGCCGCAGAATGGTTCATTAGGAAGTGAGACAGAACCTGCGGTGTCTGGGCACTGTCTTTGTGGCAAAGAGGAACAGCGGGATTCATTTTCTTCTAAAAATATTATTGTAGTTGACAGACTTGATTTCAAAATTGCCTTTGGCCCTGAACAGTCTTATGAACTACACAAATCCTTAAAATAAACTGAAACAAATAGCAGTAGCTGCTTTGAGAGCCATGGCACAGGAACCTGAAGGCTAGGGTGCCACATGGAAGATACCAGCTTTCCTGAAGTGTCCACCTTTGAACTGTCCTGGAATGAACCAAGTGCCACACAGCATGTGAACAACACAATCAAAGCTAACCAGGACATGCGGCTGCAGTCGGGGCTCTAAAAACCAAAGGGGTGTTCTGGCTAGCACTTAGAAGTTGGTGGCCAATACTGTTTAGAGAGTGGCATCTGACTCACCCCAGGAGTTGACCAGTGTGGTTTGTATGTGTACACCTAAGGGCTTCCGGGTGGTCTCTGGGCATAGGGAGTTAGTAATCTCCGGAAGAGGCGGTTCAGAGCTAACGCGAGAGCTCCTGAGGTTTCTTTTGGAGAGATGCAAACAGATTTCAACATTGCTCAACTGGAATCTTTTAAAGGTTTTCTAATCAACAATGGTTTGATATATAGACAGAAGTTCTTTTGTGAAAAATGCTAAAACTTATGTGGAAAAAGGAATGTTCTAGTAAGCTTCCTTGAAAGGATTCCTTGGGTAAATTACTCCTAATTATTGATATTTTCCAATCTGACGCTAATAGCTCGGAACTCCTACCTTAAGTTGAACTTTTTTAAAAAAAATAGGTTATTTAACATTTGTATGACAATATATTTACATTTTAAATAGAAATTTTCCCTAATAGCTCGGAACTCCTACCTTAAGTTGAACTTTTTAAAAAAAAAATAGGTTATTTAACATTTGTATGACAATATATTTACATTTTAAATAGAAATTTTCAATAATCAAAATACATCTTTAGCAAAAATTTAGAATGTAAAATTTTATAAAATAAACAAGACCCATAGAAAAGCACATTTCAGTACCATTTTAAACTTAGGCTAGGATGGAAGTTTTCCTTAAATCCTGACCCACTCTTGGACAAGCAGGATTCCTCAGGTAAGAAGATCCCTCTTCCAGCAAGCAATTTAACTTCCTGATTTTGGTTGGTTTTATAAAATGCTGACAGAGAAAGATTCTCCAAGATAGACACTAAAACACTGATCAACAGCCTTTAGGAAGAAACGGTGTGGGGTCTGTGGGCCATGAAACAAGGTCCCGCATAAAAAGCCTTCTCTGGATTTACTGATGCAAACTGCGGTGACAGGGCTTCATGCTGTGGCTCATGTTGCTGGTGCCATGCAACCACCTTGTCATGTCACAGCACTCATCCTGGCTGATGAGCCACCAGTGGCAAATAAGGTGTTTTCACAGATCCATAATGCCCAGCACAGGAGAAGTTATGTGAGCAGATGTTTAGTATCATCCTAACACTCATGGAAATCAGGCCAGAAGCAGACTGGGATCTCCAGCTCAGTGAACTCACTCAGTTTCTTTTCCTTGTAGTTACTGTGCCATCTTGAGGAAAATTCTTTTATTCATGGAGCTTGTTAAAGTATAAAAAAGGAGCAGTGGTCACTTTGGCCAAAATAAAAAGCTGCTGCATGAGTGTCTAGCTCTGTCCGAGTGCACTCGCATCACAGCTGCCCTTGACAGAAGTTTGCGGTCGAGGTATTTGCATGTGTTCTCAGCCACACCCCAGGACTCAGATCACAAACGACGACTTGTGTCTGAAGTCGCCCTGCAAAGCCAACATGAAGTTAGAACCTATCAAGAGGCCTGGGGGGTAGCAGGAAAGGAAAAACACCAGTGAAATCTGACATGAGCTAAGCATGTCCCTGAGGAGGAAACTAAGGGCAAAACTAAATTAAATAACCATTCTTAAAAAGTAGCCTCCACTTGGGCTTGCCAAGTGTGCATCTCAGTGTGTGCAGATGACTGCAAAGGGCTGAGCAGCTCAGGGTCTGCAACGTAACTCGGAGATCTTCCTCCTGGCGGACCCACTGGGTTTCCATGGAGAAATGTCATTTGCCCTGCAGCATACACCCAGATCTCCATGTTTCCTAAATGATGTCTGCCCTCTTCCCTCACTCCCTACCTCCTCATCTGTCCTGATGTAGTTAGCGCCATCTGGCTTCCCTGGGGTCTTGTAACTGTGGACAGGAGAAAAGAGCAGTTCAGTGACATGTCACATCAGAGCCAGCTTGACCTTTGCTTTCTGCACGTAAGGCAGGCTCACCTTTCCTCATCCTGCTTGTTGATGAAGTAGCCACGCCTGTATGCACAGCAGATGCCCAGCGTTATCAGTGCCAGTACAGCAAGGACAACCAGAACCCCCCCAATAATTCCGCCAATGTTCAGGTCATCTGAAGAAAAGGAGATGTGAGGGAAGAGATGATACACGCTCTGATCTTTAAAAAGACCCTGAGCCCACTGTGCCCACCCCACTTACCCCACCTAGCCCTCTGCCCCTCATGCCTACTCCAGCCAGAAGAGCAAACAGAAAACATTTAAAATCTTTCTAGCCTAGGACATGCAGGACACCATAACCCCTGATTTCACACATAAAAAGTGCCGAGACTTCCACAGTTCAAATGCAGTTACACTTTACACTGTATAAAAGGGGCTTGGCGGTCTATAAAAACCCTCTGGCTAAACGCCTGAGAATGTTATCAAGGAAATGTTCACATTATAAGAACAGAATTAAGAGCCAGGAGTCCTAAAGAAAAAATAAATCCCTAATTTCTAGGGCCTGCCTTCATTGTAGATTACTTGGAGTAGGAAAACTAGTTTCAAGCCTTCCTTGAAAGTAAAAAATACTAGATGCAAACCTGCCTTTCACTCCACGGGCTGCCTGGCCTCCTACCTGCAAGCCTCTTAGAGGAAACCCCCTGGAATTCCTTTTCTCATTTCTCTATGTGTACTGGGCAGAGGCACTTGGTCACTTTCAATGTGGGGGCACTGGTGGCTGTTTCCTTTATGCAAATAACAATGCATAGAAAAATACATGGGGAATTTATCAACAAAAGTGAACTAACTTGGAAGGTGTTAAACTTCTCCCTTATCTAGTTCTCAAATGTGAGTGTACATTTAAAAATTAATTTGAAAATTTTATTTTAAAATGTTAATTTCCAAGCTCCATCACTAAAGACTCAATAGATCTGGGGCAAAACTCAGGAATCTTCCTCTGGGAGAAAACGACCCTAGAGGAGTTTCCCTATTTTGACAGATGAAAAGAATCACCTTGAACACTTGTTTTCCACTCAGGCATTTCTAGCACACCTCTGGGCTAGGCCCTGGAGTCTGTGTGTGGAACGGTGGTCCCAAATGGTTATCATTAGGCAATTTTGGAAAACACCACTGTGGGGATGGTTGCAAACAGGTAGGAGGGTGGGACTCAAAAAGCTCCCCGAGTGATTCAGATACACTTTACCTGCCCCCATGCTCCCCTCAACATCTCGACCCTTCAGAACCAGAACCCCAGAGATAATGTCATCACAGAACAGGGTAAAGTTACTGGGGATAAAGCTCTGTCTCAGTTTCCTGCAAAGTGATAATAACTCCATAAGTTCCTGGAGACCTCACATGACCTTATGTTTTGACAATGCTATCAACTGACAGTTGATTAAACTCGCTGTGAGAGTTACATGACTGGCCCTGCTTGTCGAGACCCAGAGCTCTCTCTTCTTTCCCTTCAGTGTTCACAGTGGATTTGGGTGGATCCAGTCAGCACCAGAAGAAAGTTAACCCACAGCCGAAGAGCTGTCTAAACCGATTGTCTAACATTAAATTTGAAATGTTCTATTCGCTTCCACTTCCGATGAAATTTTCTTGAAAAGTAACTCACAGACTTCCATCTCTTGCTCCTCACACCTGGCGGAGCCGGCGTCATTGGAAGCGATACAGTAATACCGCCCAGAATCCTCCTTGTGAACAGCCGTGAAAACCTGGTTCAGAAAATGACAAGTAAATAATTAGACCAATCACCAGGGCAGAGACCTCTGAGAGGCTGCCACCCAAGATCTCACTGGGTGCAGAAAATGGTCAAATGTCTGCTTGCTTGCTTCAGGTCTCCCAAGGCTTCTCAGGCCCTGCCAGGTTCCTCCCTGATAGGCTTCTCTGACACTCTTGCCTGAGAGTTCCTGAACAGTGACATCCCCTTGGTATTTGGAGATACCGACGCCTGGCAACATCCACCATGAGATGTTCGGCCTGACTTTTATTCTGGTAAAGGGATGCTCTGATAATGTCTGCTCCACAGGCAGCACTTTGGCAAAACAAATACAGAGAATCTGTCATAATCTGCCTGATGATCCACAGACCAGAAGGCACCTCCCAGAGGAGAACTACACATAGGAAAAGCCTGCTGTGGATTGCTGCTGAGGTCAGTCTGTCCTTCAGTGTACGACCAATCTTGTTTCCTCTCCTCCACCACCCACCTTCCACCACCACCACTGGGTTATTCTGAAGCAAATTCCAGACACGTTTTATCCAAAAATACTTCAGTGTGTATCTATCTCTGTAAGATAAGGACTTTTAAAAACCGTAATCTCGATACAATTATCATGCCTGAAGCAATTAATAACTGCTTACCATCATCAAATATCCAGCCAATAACCAAACTTCCCAGATTGTCTCACCATGATTTTCACCATTGATTATCCAACCCAGGACCCTAATAACGTCCACTCATAACGTCTGCTTAATATCCCTCCTCTGTCTCGTTTAACCCACAGGTTTCCCTTCCTTTATTTTACCCCCTTAGGACTTGCTTATAAAAATGGGGAGGCCACTTTTCCTGTACAATCTCCAACTTTCCGGATTTTTAGCTTGTCTCTCCTGATAGTTGTTCTTTCTACCATAAGCATCCCTTGTGCCAAAGACACCTCCACTCTCGCCTCTCGGAAGAACTCTTACCAGAGTGCCTGTGTCAGAGTTTAAGAGAAAAGAGGAATTCCGCCACTTTTCCTGTACAATCTCCAACTTTCCGGATTTTTAGCTTGTCTCTCCTGATAGTTGTTCTTTCTACCATAAGCATCCCTTGTGCCAAAGACACCTCCACTCTCACCTCTCGGAAGAACTCTTACCAGAGTGCCTGTGTCAGAGTTTAAGAGAAAAGAGGAATTCCGGAAGCGGGGGTTGGCCCTGGAGTCCGTGGGCAGTGGCATGTCGTTGCGGTACCAGCTGTAGTGAGGCCGAGGGGAGCCTTCGCCCTCCTCGCAGTGCAGCGTGGCCACCTTGCCTACAGGAACAGCCTTCGGCACTCTGCAGACGGGGGTCACCGGCTTCACTGTAGGAACAATATGGGCTGCTGCTCGCAATCTCAGCAACACGGCTCCCTTCTTACCAAAGCCCACAGGGAATCAGCTCCAAAGACAAGGAAGCCAGCCAAGGGCCTCCTGCACCCCTGCAGTCCCCATGATCACATCTGCAGACTCATTTGCCCCCCCACCCCAGGCACCTCTAATCCCTTCCCCCTCCAGGAGGGGCTGTGGAGGGACTGACGGTGCGCTGAAGCCCCTCCTACGGCTGGTGGAGGAAAGAGGCTGAGCTGCACGTCCCTCCTCACCTTCCACCCCACTTGGGCAGCCTCGGCTCCCAGAAGTCCTCCCTCCCTAAGTCATGTGACAGCTCAGGGATGCAGCTCAGGAAGGAATGAAATCAAAGCAAGAGTTGATCTCTTCTACCCTATGGAGCAGAGATGCATGAGGCCTGAGATGGGGTGAAAATGTTTTACCTTCACATGCGTTCCTACCTTGCACAGTCAACTCAATGGCAATCTCATCAATTTCTTTGCGGTCATTTCGAGCAACGACCTCGCAGCGATAAAGGGCCGAGTCTGTCCGTGTCACATTCCAGATCTTCAGGGAAGTTTTCCCCAATAGCTCTGCACGACCTGCCAAGTCTCCTGTGTGAAAGAAGACACAGGACCCTAAGGCACTCTTTAAAGATATCTTTGCTACTCGAGGAGGGTGGTTTCTGGGGCCACAATTTGATGCCACATTAAGAAGACTGTAGACTGGTTTCTGTTTCTATCCCCATATAACAGAAGTGACTCCCTGAGAACAGGAACCATGACTTATACCTATTTGTAACCTGAGCAGCAAAAACAGCCCCTGGTGTGTAAAAGACAAGTCATTATATGTGTCTCTGTTGTTAAAGCCAGGAACCTCATCTCCTCCTCATTCCCAGGAGGGATTCCCCATTAAAAGAAAAACAAAACAAACAACATTTAAAAAACAAAAACAAAAAAACTAACCTTCCACAAAGGGTCCTGGGACAACTGGATATCCACACGCAAAAGAATGAAGCTGAACCTCTGCCTCACTCCATATACGACAAAGACCTAATGTTAGGAGGTAAAACTGTAAAACAGGCTGGCTGGTCAGCTCAGCTGGTGAGAGCACGGTGCTGGTAACACCAAGGTCAAGGGTTTGGATCCCCATACCAGCCAGCCGACACAAAACACAAAACACAACAAACAAAACAACTATAAAACTCTTAGGAGAAAAGCAGGTATAGATCTTCATGACCTTGGATTAGGCAATTATGTCTTAGCTATGACACCAAAAGTACAAGCACACCCAAAAAGTTACACTGGACTTCATCAAAGGACACAGGCAGGTGAAAAGACAACCGATCCACAGGTTAGGAGAAAATATACGACAGCGGACTAGTATCCAGAATAGACAAAGAATTCACCAATCAACAATAAACAGACAAATAACCTAACCAAAAAATAGACCTGAGATTTGAATAGACATTTCTCCAAAGAAAATATACAAATGACCAATAAGCACATGAAAAGGTGCTAAGTATCATTATTCATCAGGGAAAGGCAAATCAAAACCACACTAGATACCACTTCATAGCCACTAGGATCCAACAGCCAGACAGTAACAAGTGCTGGTAAGGACGTGGGGAACACACCGCTGGCGGGGATGCAAAATGGTGGCACTACTTTGGAAAACAGTTTGCCAGTTTCTTAAAATGCTATACATGCAACTACCATATGACCCAGCAATTGTATGAGGGCTCATGGAAAAACAGAATTAACAGATAAAACGAACATTGCCATGAACTTTTTGAAGTAGCCTTGTACTCTTGGTCATTATCCCAAAGATGAAAACTTATATTCACACAAAATAATGTTCATAGCACCATCACTGATAACAGTCAAAAAGTGGAAACAACCCAAATGTACCTCAGTTGATGAACAGATAAAATAATGTGGTATATCTACAACAGAATATTATTCAACCATTAAAAGGAGGGAAGTTCTGAGACACTCTACTACCATGGATGAACCTTCAAAACATTATGCTAAGTGAAAGAAGTCAGCACAAAAAATTGTAAGATTTCATTTACAAGAAACGTCTGGAATGGGTTAACCCATTGAGACAGAAATTAGATTAAGGGCTGCCAAGGACTGTGGGGAAGGGGACTGACTACTATTGGGTGTGGGGTTTCTTCTGGGGATTGATGAAAATGTTCTGGAATTTGACAGTGGGGATGACTGCACAACTACGCAAATACATTCACCACGACCACTGAATTGTACACTTTAACAGGGTGAGAAGAAACAGAGCACGCCTGGGGTCACAGGCAGGGGACGAGGGCAGCATCCCCTGCCAGGAAACAGGCAAGGAGCACGCACCCCTGCCAAGAAACAGGCAGGGAGCAGCCGAAAACACCACTCCCTTGCAGGTGTCCCACCACAGCCACTGCCACAGCCACGCCTGCCGTCCCCTGCCAGGAAACAGGCAAGGAGCACGCCGAAAACACCACTCCCTTGCAGGTGTCCCACCACAGCCACTGCCACAGCCACGCCTGCCGCAAGAGCTGCTCGACACCACAGCAGTAGCCACAGCCACCGTGCAGGCAGCCCGCCAGACACCCGACTGCACTGACACAAGGAGAGCTGACAGTGGAGACCGGAAAAAGAAGACAATGTCTCTCTCCTCAAAGCCCACCCCAGCGTGATAGAAGCAACCGCTCTACCACGCCCCTGCTTTATTTCTGATTTTAATAATTTCTGTCTTCTCGCTTTTTGTCCTGATCAGTCTATCTAAAGGTTTGCAAACTGTGTTGATCTTTTTAACAAATCAAAAAAAAAAAAAAGACTATTAAGCAGTCTACATAGCACATTGATATAAATATCTTAATCAAACATGAACTTTACATAATTTTTTTAGGATATAATAATCTTTATATATATGATATAACTTTTTAAATATGTAACTATCATTCATTTTCTTTGACAGACTTTGTTATAGGAGACTGAAGTCAAGCTCAAAACCCATTTCTCGTTATGATCTGTTTTTCCCCTTACTTTCTTTTCTTTCTAATGACAATATTGAATTTTCTAAATCAGATAGTTAAGAACATTTTTGTTTTCAAGAGTTCATCACAATACATTTCTATATTATTTTTTTAAAAAGGGTGAGACATGCTGTAGGAATTATCTCAATAAAAGAAATTTTAAGCGTTAAGGGACACAGTGAAATCTTTCAAAGAAGCATGAAGAACCTATAGAACAACAAATAGGGAAAGGAGTTCAGAAAAAAAGAATGACCCAAAAAAGTACAAACTGTTTCTAAACCTTACAGCTGGTGATAAGTGTATAAAATATATATTACCATAATATAATACAAATAGGAAGATGCTTAAGAGAAAGAATGAACATTTTCAATGCCTTCTTCATAAAAAGGTTTTTTACATGGTTGTGATTAGTAGATTAGAGTATCTATCATGTAAGAAAATAGTAAATAAAAACCTACCAGGGTAGTCTTGCATTGAGGCAAGAGAAGAGACCAAGCCGACTCAAGCTTTCCTCCAGCCCTCATATTGTGATAAATACTCTCCCTCAAACTCCCCATCTTTTAATTTTTAAAAAAAATTTATTTATTTTTTTTGCATGCTAGAATTGTTGCAGAGCAGTTGCGGGAGGGAAAGGGAGAAGGAAATAGGGTGTGAGTAAGAAGGAGTGGGGCTTAGTTGAGGCCCGTGGAATCCCCCTCATTCCAGCAGAGAACACTAGGGGGGTTCTGGTGGCAGCCTGGTCATCACTGGGCTGGTTGCAGATGTTGTGGGGGGCATGGCTGAGGCCATTGGCTCCACCACTGCCCTGGCTCGGGAGCCTGGGACACTTCCTGCAGCAGCTGGGTGGTCAATGCTGGGCTGGTTGTGGATGTTAGGGGGCTGGGTGTGGCTGAGGCTGTCAGTCCCCCACTGCCCCAGCTTGGGAGCCTGGGGCACTTCCTGTGGTGGCTCGATGGTTGTCACTGGGCTGGTTGTGGATGTTGGGGGGGCATAGCTAAGGCCATCGGCCCCCCACTGCCCCAGCTCGGGAGCCCAGGGCGCTTTCTGTTGAGGCTCAGTGGTCGTCACTGGGCTGGTGGTGGTTGTCAGGAGGGTAATGGCTGAGGCCATTGGTCCCCCACTGCCGTGGCTTGGGATCCTGGGGTGCTTCTTGAAGCAGCTTGGTGGTTCTCACTGGGCCAGTTGTGGTGGTTCTCACCAGCCACTCTCAGGTGGGCATGGCTGAGGCCCTCTTCCCTTCTCCCTCTCTGGGTTGGGACCCTGGGGGGCTTCTAGTCCTTCTAGGTTTTACAGGTATTCTTTGGTGGTGTTAGACCTTTACTAGTTAGTATCAGACTTTGCCTCTGATCTGTGCATATTCTGTTTTTTCTTTCCATTCTGTGTTGCATTATTCACTGTTCCCACCACTTAAACTCTGCACTGGAACTAATTTATAGTCCTTTGCTTACTTCTAAAATGGAGGAACTTCNACAAAACAAAAGAGGTGGGGGAGGGCCCACGTTAGAGGGAAAACAAAACTATCTGTAAGAGCCTACAGCTCCTGATCCGGAGAACACAGAGCAGAGAGACCACAGAGAGACCACAGAGAGACCGATCATTTCCACGAAGGCTTTCCCCACCCCTGGCCTCTCTGAGCGCTCTGATGGCACTGCTTTGAGTGCACCTGCCCTGGTGCCCCTGCTCACTCCTTGCCTCCCTCAGGAGAGGTCNTTAAACTCTGCACTGGAACTAATTTATAGTCCTTTGCTTACTTCTAAAATGGAGGAACTTCTTGTGGGGACCAGCACTTGAGACCGGTGTTTGAGCTAAATTGCTTCATTGCTGCTGATTCCCTGGGGGAGGCTTTTTGTGCAGCTCAGGTTTTAATTGTTGACCTTGTAAGTACTTCCAGGTCTTGTGAGGTCTGGTACACCTGGGTTGTGTGGAAACTCTGGTCTGGGCCTGAGTCTTTTCAGCAAACTGCAACTGCTGCAGTTCTATATTCCTGACTAGTCTCCACGGACTGATCCTGTGCTGACTGGAGGGCAGGTCAGCTGTCCATGCTGTGCCCCAGTGTTCCCCTGGTGGGCCTGTCTCCCCCACTGCCCACACTCCAAACACTTCCCATGGGATGGGCCATGTGCTGGTCCCTTGCAATGACTCACCGGCCTCTGAGTGGCTCCTTTTTTCAGTTGTCTGTGGCCTCTCATTCCTATGTGGGTCCCACAGGAACCCTGCTAGTGGTCTTGCTGGTCTGGGGTCACCAAGGCCCTCTTCTCCCCTGCAGCCTCCAAGCGATATCATAGGAAGGGCACAGCTCTGGCTTTTGCCAGCTCCTGCTCCACGTGCTCACGAGCTCCTGCCTTGAAGCGGCTGGGGCTCAAAATGATGAGAGCTATTCTTTCTTTGTCTCATCGTGGCTTCTCCTGTGTTCATGTGCTGTGTAGGTCTCTCCTCTTCCCCTGAGCTCTAGTTGCCCCAGCTTGGCTGCTGTTGCTTTCTAATAGTTGTCTTAATTCCCCATCTCTACAGCTAACAGTAAGATATTTAATTCCCACAAAAAAGTTTCTTTAAAGGATTTCTGACTTGATTTCTCTGATGATCTAAACTGCACGTATAGGGCTTAACAGAGTCAGCCTAGTGGCCAAAGAAAACTGATTTATATTCTTAGAATAACATTTCTATCTCTTCAAAAATAAGAGGTAGGAGCCCTGATATGATCACTGCACACAGTATGAATGTACCCAAATCTATTGTACTCCGTATATATATACATAAATTGTCATGGGTCAATTAAGAAAAATAAAAAGAGAGAGAAAAAAAGAGAGAAATAGGGAGTAGAACAGTGGTTACCGGAGGGAGGGAAAGGAAGGAAAAGGCTGGGGAAAGATTGGTGGACTAATATACAAAGTTACAGTCGGATAGGAAGAATAAGTTCCGGTGCCCAGGGGTGACAACAGCTAGTAATACTGTAATGTATATTTTAAGAGAGCCAGAAAAGAGGATCTTGAGTGTTGTAACTACAAAGAATTGATCAATGTTTAGGTGACAGCTATGCTAACTATTCTAACTCGATCATTATATAATATATGCATCTATGGAAACAACAAATTAAACCCCATAAACATGTACAATGAAAAAACTTTAAATTACAAAACAAAAGAGGTGGGGGAGGGCCCACGTTAGAGGGAAAACAAAACTATCTGTAAGAGACTACAGCTCCTGATCCGGAGAACACAGAGCAGAGAGACCGCAGAGAGACCGATCATTTCCACGAAGGCTTTCCCCACCCCCGGCCTCTCTGAGCGCTCTGATGGCGCTGCTTTGAGTGCACCTGCCCTGGTGCCCCTGCTCACTCCTTGCCTCCCTCAGGAGAGGTCATGTCCTTCACTCTGTGCCATCAGGCCCTCCTGCAGCACAGCTATCCTAGCAACCCTCCCCTGGACTCTCCATCACCTGTGCCTCCACCTCAGCTCAAGCCACCAGCAGCTCCCCCTGGGTCCACAGAGGAACTCTGACTTGGGCCCCTGCTCTGAGACTCACCCATTCCCAGTCTCTTCTCCACAAAGCAGCCATCTCCTCTCCCCAGCGCAGTATGACCGCCCTGCGTCCTCTCAGAACCACTCAGCGTAGCCATAGCCTCATCTCCTCCCAGCAGTGGTGGGGAACGTGCAGCCTCCCCCCAGCCATGCAGGCTGTCACTTCCGCATCTTCACACCAGCACCCTTTCCTGGACCAACACCTTTGCCCATGCCGCCCTTGCCATCTTGCATGGCTCCCTGCCCACTCTTCACACCGCTGCCCAGCTGCTGCTTTTGGGGAGCCTTCCTTGACCACTGTCCTCCCCCCCACTTGGTGTCATCCCAGGGTGCCCTGTGCTGACACTGGAATGAGGTCCTGCCAACCTGTCTAGCAGGGGCTTTCTCCTTGCAGGGAGACACGATGGGGGACTTGGTAAACACCTGTTGTCTCCTTGCTGCTGCGCATGATCCATCTGATCAACTCACTTCTGTCACTCCTGTCATGGATCGTGATACAAAGATGGCCTAGGAAAGTGTTCACATTGATTCCTCAAAAAGATGAGTTGTGGACAGACTAAACGAACTAATGAATTGATATTTGCTGAAGTTACATGACAGGGAGGTTCAATATATTATTCTCATTACTTATGCACATGTTCGAAATTTTCCATAATAATAAATAACAAAAACAAAACAGTCCTCACTACAGACGCAGGTTGCCTGTCCAAGGTGAGTTTCTGGCCATAAGCACATGCCTGGGCCTGTGGACAAAGGACAGGTCAGCAGGCAGAGAAGACAACGGGATCATACCCTGAATGCTGTTGTCAAAAAACACATATGTGGTTTGGTCATCTTTAATTTTCTTCCATTCAATCCTGGGATCATTTGTCTGTGAATCCGTAATGATACAAGACAGCTCCACACCTAAAGAGCAAAGGAAAAAAGGACTCTCAGTGACTGCGGTGGAATGCTTCTAGGTTTACCTGTGCACCCAACCCTGCATGCTGTGTAGAGTTTGAGAGACTGCTCATGCACCATAGAAACCTGCCCACCTCCAGGCTCCAAGAGACTTTGAGAAAAGATGAGTTTTTGTCAGAAAAATATAAAGACAATTAGCAAGGATTTTACCACATATAGTATACACTCCCTTAAAATATGCTGCATGTACATAAATGTCTTTGTGTGTGAGCATGAAGCCGGGCAGGAATCTGATGCTGACCAGTACAAACCCACACAGAGTGTGCTGCAGGCCTGTGGACATGCTGCACGTGAGCAGCCACCCCCCAACATCTCCTCGGCCTGACATACGTGTCCTGGCATGGCTGCAAGACCACCACATGTCCATTAGGTGGTGCCCATTCTCCTTATAGCGTGTGCCTCGTACTTACTTTCAAATTCCTGCACCACTGGGTTTCGGTTGCTGGATTTGAGATTC